CACCTATCCGTATCTCCTTAGCATAGCATTTTCACTGTGACAATCCCGGCCCCCGTCGCAGTAACATCAAATATTCTAACCATAAGCCTCAACGCACACACTCGCAGCAAACACCGGAGACGTGGAGCAAACTATGTTTCGCTCGATGTTCGCTTGGCTGTGTCGCGGATTCCCGAAACAAGAAACATTGCTCAGCTGGAGCGTGTTTCGCTGAACAAGCATGTTTGATCGCGGAGCGGTGGGGTATTTCGGCGCTGAGCGTACGTTTGCTCGGGTCGTGTGCGTCAATCGAGTATCCCTGCCTACCACAGCCTCGAACGCCACAGACGGTCTTCCCAATCAATATTCTTAAAAATATCTCATGACACACAAAATTGGATGTTCATTGGATGGCCTATTTTAGATGTCATGCTGACCCAACGCGGCCGCTGTACGCAGTGTTGTCTGTATGTTTTTGCTCAGCTGTGCTGCTGTGTCGCTTTTTGGCGTGTGGCTGCGCCTTGCTCGCTGAGCAGACGCGAAACCGCGTTGGAAAACAAAATTGCCGGTTTTGCCTCGGGTGTGCTGCGCCTAGGCTTTAGTCTCTAACATGATTTTTTTATGCGTACTCGTAGACTATGGTCTTTAGTGCACTGCTATCATGGGCCGAAACACGTAACTTGTACAGCATAAAAAAGCACAAACGGCCCACACACGGCCGAGCTGCAAAACAGCGGACAATTCTTGTTTTTCCAGCGTTTCGACCGTTGCTGCTCGGCGAGCAAGCGCTCACACACGCCACCCGACAACAACACCACAGCTGAGCGAAAACATGACAGAAACACTGCGTAACAGCCGCCGCTGTCACATGACATCAAAAATAGCCATCCAATGGACATCCAATTTTGTGCGGCGTGGCACAGTATCTGTGCTTGCATGTTATGATTTTTAGGATATTGACTTGGAGGCACCGTCCTGTGGCGTGTGTCGGCTGGTGGAGCAGAACGATTGACGCAACACACCCGCAGCAAAAAGCTACGCTCGGGCGAAAAACACGCCTTCTGCAAATCAAACATTGCTTGTTCAGTCCGAAACACGCTCAAGCTGCAGCAATGTTTCCTTGTTTCTCGGGAATCGCACACAGCCACGAACATCCGACTGCGAAACTTGTTTTGCTCCACGTTCAGGTGTTTTGCTCGGGCTGTGTGCGTTGGTTAAGTCTATGTCCCCCTGACCTCGTTTGACCTGGCTCGTTTGATAGTTTTGACTAATTATATATATATATACTATAATATATATATGGCGTTAGGCGTTCTATGGTTAGTCATGAAATAGGCTAGAACGAGCCAGGTCAAACAGCAGGTCAGGGGGACATAGACCCTACGAGCGTAACTTGCTCTTGTCACGGCCTATGTGAAGTAAGTTAATGTTGAAAAAGATAAGATAAATGTGAAGACTAATTTAGGATAAGAAATGATATATTTTGGTTTCTAACAACAGCTATGTCTTTTGATAATTGCCAGACTTCTGTCTCCACGGCGCGCACGTGGCGACCATATAGATCTGCACCCTTCCCACTGAGAAGAATAAAGCCTCCCATTGCCTATACAACTCGCGTTCTATGCGTTAATACGGCCATCGTCTTCTTGCAGGGCGATAGATCATTTTGGCCACCGCATAACGGCAGGCACAGACGCACTGTGGTTCGTTCCCGCTGTCCGTGGGGCTAGAAAAAAATAAATAAATTATTTTCCCAGTTTCGCGTTGAAACAATTGATGAAAACAACGCAATTCCTCGCGTATTTATTTAGCGACTTCCAAGTTCTCTTAGCCTCACTTGACATCGGTCAAGATGAGCCTATTTCATCAGGGGCGCTCATCCGTCGTACGTCCGTCGTCCGTCAACATTTGGCTACGGCCTCAACGCATGACTGAGACGTTTCGACCCACATTGTTTCAAAATTGCATGCAGTTGTTCTGAGAGAATGTGAACGCTCCCATTTTTCGGCACGCCAGTGACCTACTGTTCGAGCACGCCACTTGTTACTCAAAAATGGAAATGCGCCATAAGTCATTTAGGTTCAACGGATTTTGCTCACTTTTTAGGCCATCGCGGAGTGCAATAAGGACTGGCCCGCAACGACACATATCACATGGGGTTTTGAATTTTTAAATTATGCAAATTAGGTAGACTTTTGGCAATTTTCCATTTATTGTCAGTGTACTGCGTACGCCCGTAACGACAAACTTAAGAAAACCGTTTGACCCACATTCGTTTCAAATTGCATACAGTTCGTTACTCTATGGAGCAGATTGAACGTCCTAATTTAGAGCGCGCTCAGTCGATCTACTTTTCGGCCACGCCACTTTTTTGGCAAAAATGGAAATGGCTATCCTAGATTCATTCGATTTTGTTAAAGTTTTGGTATGGTGAAGTGTTAAGGCTTAGCCTCCAAGCAGTGTTAATATCTATGGAGAGATGCAACCGTCCTTTACGTTTATTTTGTCTAATGGCTTAAAACTCTACAAATATACCCTACATGTAATACTTGTGTCTTTGGATTTCTTCGTTTACAGCTAATTACTGCGAATAATGTTTATTGTTTTTTATTGCGCGATAGTTCAAAAACCAAAAACTGGCGTCATTTGAAGCGTACGCACCGTCTCTTGCCAGATTCAGACTTCTCAGATCCTGAACATTTATGTTCGCATCAAAAATTACGCAATATATTATTATCATAGCAGTTATATAATGGAGCACATGGCTATTATAATAGGAGTTCCTCTCTATAATATAGCCTACATCTTGCGTCTTGCTCTTTGCTCTTGCTCTT